AATTGGATATCCATGTGCAAAACAATGAACCTCAACTGTTACACTGCACTGTATAACAAAAATTAACTTGAAATGGATCATAGACCTAAATCTGAGTTAAAATTTATAAAACTAATAGAAAATGTGCCAAAAATAATCATTGTGACTTTGGGTTAGGCAGAGATTTCTTAGTTAAGACACAGAAAAATGAACCATAAAAGAAATAACATAAATTGGACTTCTTCACTCTTTTAAAATTCTGCTTTTCAAAAGACACTTACAAAATGAGCGGGAACCAGATACAGTTGTCCATGTCTGTAGTCCCAGCTACTCAGGAAGCTGAGGTGGGAGGATTGCTTAAGCCCAGGAGTTCAGGGCTATAGTGCCTGTGAAAAACCACTGCTTAAGAACAGCCTGGCCAACATGGCTGAAACCCCATCTCTACTAAATTTGTATTTTTAATAGAGATGGATTTTCAGCCATGTTGGCCAGGATGTTCTTTAACTCCTGACCTCAGGTAATATGCACACCTTGGCCTCCTAAAGTGCTGGGATTACAAGCGTGAGCTACTGCACCTGGCCTCAACAAGATTATTATTATGTCTTATATAGCAAAAATGGGTTTATGTACTGGTTTTATCCTATCAGTGCAATAATTTGTTCTATGTCAGGTTCAGCACACACAGGCTTGATAGTGCTGGTTGTCAGGCAGAAACTGGATTTGAATCTAGTATCTTCTGTGCCCACCTACTGGAACTATAGCAGTCTTAGTGCATTTGCATCCTTCTGGTTTAGGTTTTATTTTATTTACTTAGATTTTTATTTAAGTAAAATTTACATGGAGTGAAATTGATAGATCATAAGTGTAGTCTTACGTGAGTTTTGACAAATGACTTTTGTGTAACCTACTTCAATTTCAAGATACCCAACAGTTTCATAATCTGCAAGAGTTCCCTTATACTCCTTTCCAGTCTACCCATCTCCCATATGCAATTACTGTTCTGATTTGTCACCAAGACTAGTGTTGCCTATTCTTGAACTTCATATAAATGTGGTCATATAGTATACATTCTTTTGTGTCTGTTTTCTTTCAATCAGTATAATGTTTTTAAGATTTATCCATGTTGTTGTGTTTATCAGTAGTTCTCTTATATTGCTAAATATATTTCATTATATTAGTACACCACAATTAGTTTATCCATTCATTTATTGATAGGTGTTTGGATTGTTTCCAATTTTGGCCTATTATGAATAAAGCTACTATAAACAGTTTTTTATAAGTCTCATTTTGGCATGTATTTTTATTTCTCTTAGGTACATGCCTAAGAGTGGAATTTGTTGGGTCAAAGAGTAAGTGTATTTTTAACTTTAAAAGAAACAATCAAGCAGTTCTTCAAAATGGTTGTCCCAGTAGAAATACTCATTTTTACTAAAGGAAATGTCTCAGTAATGTAATGTCTTCATGGCCTTTTTTTTTTTTTTAATCATTGGATTATTTTAGTAAGTTTGAAGCACTGTAAGTCAAAATTCTTACAACAATAAAGAAGAGCTATGGAATCATTGCTGAATTTGTTGGATTATTCCCAGTAGCTCAAATTGAAACCATAGTATTGAGATGGTTTGAAAACTAGTGACAGGGAAAATGCTGAAAAAAATTGTTCAAGGTAGATTCTATGGGGATATGTTTAGTTTGAATATATTTTTGTTTTCATCATTCCATTGATTTATCCTGGAAACTGAGTAATTAAGATTTGTTGATTGCCAGTAGATATATTTTGTGGAATCATTTGCTCATCCCCAGCAAATGGTGATACCTATAATCTATAATATTAAATGAGAATGAGCAATAAAGTAAAAATAGCTGAATATTACTTGGTATATTCTCAGGAAGAAGAAAGAAAAAAAAAGGCTGAGTAATAGCCCAGGCATAGTGGCTCACGCCTGTAATCCCAGCACTTTGGGAGGCTGAGGCAGGTGGATCACCTGAGGTCAGGAATTCGAGACCAGCCTGACCAATATGGTGAAAAGTATATTTTTAAAAAATATACTTTAAGTTCTGGGGTACATGTGTAGAATGCGCAGATTGGTTACATAGGTATACTACAGGTACCATAGTGGTTTGCTGCACCCATCAACCCGTCATCCACATTAAGTATTTCTCCTAATGCTATCCCTCCTCTATCCCTCCAACCCCTGACAGGCCCCAGTGTATGATGTTCCCCTCCCTGTGTCCATGTGTTCTCATTAGCTAGAGTTCCGTGTCAGAGGCTGAAATTGTATTGAATTTAGGAGATATGTTGTATTTTATTACTTAAGAATGCTTACAAGTCTACTAAATTTTACCATGTACAAAGTGAAATGTTAAAATGGAACAATACTAGGAAAATTAAGCATTATTCAGTATATATATGAAAGACTTAATTTTACATCGAGATTTTAGAGGAATATGGATTATCGAATTGAATATACATTAACATTCAAATTCTATTAAAAAACAATACCAATAAGGAAAATTATCCTGTAACAGAAATGGTTCTCAGTCTGTAGCTGATGCCTGCTCTGTTGTATATGAATAATTTCAGTATAGCACAATTTCTATATAATAAAAAATTTAGTTATTTTTTGTGCATATGTTAACATTTGACTTGTATTTATCCCAGCTACACCCCTCCCCTTAGGGATTTGCAGGGAATGACAAAGCAAACATTTTTTTTTATTTGTTTTGTGGGGAAATTTTTTATTCTAATAAAATGAATTATTGTTTATTATGGAATATGTGTATTATTTGGTAAATATGTAAACAAGAGTATCATCCATAATCCTTACACTTTAAGATGATTATTGTTAAATTAACATGTTAGTGTCCTTTGATCTGGAATGACTTATCCATCCATGTGTTCCTCTGTGCACACACACATGCCCAAATAAGTTTTGTTTTTAAGTATTTTTATAAATACTTAAATACTTATAAATACTTTTATAAATATTTTTATAAATACTTAAATATAGTATTTATAAAATACCATTTTATAAATACTAAATATATTCGCACCCAATACTGGAATACCCAGATATATAAGACTCATAAAGAGACTTGGACTCCCACACAATGATAGTGGGAGACTTCAACATTAATATTTGACAGATCAGTGAGAAAGTTAACATCGATATTCAGGACTTAAACTCAGATCCGGAACAAGTAGACTTAATTAACATTTATAGAACTCTCCACTTTAAATACACAAAATATACACTCTTATCAGTACTACATCACACCTATTTACAGGTTTAAATGAAATATTGGTTGGCTGCTTGTTAATTATTTTCTTCCCTCATTTTTTTTTTTATGTCTCTATTATTAAACACAATTACAAGCATACCCATTTTTAGACTGCATTCTAGCCCGGGCAATAAAGCAACACCCCGTTCTCTCTCCCTCTTCCTCTTTCTTCTTTCCTTCATTCTTTTTTTTTTTTCTTTTTTTAATTCTTTCTCTTTTTTTCTTTCTCTCTTTCTTCCAAAAAAAAAAAAAAAGTATTTTTATTACCATTTAATTAAATCATAAGATAAAATTAAAACATTTAACATTAATTGTAGAAAATACAGAGAAGTAGAAAGAAGGTTAAAAATCATGTGTTTAGGGGAAAGGAGAAGAAAAAAAAGAAGGAAGTAAGTATTTTAAATGTCCTCCCAGAGATTACCATTTGAGTAATACTAGTAATTTCTGAATTTCACCTATATCATATTCTTGCCCAAATTCTACATTCATCATCAATGATTTTGGTCACTGAAATTTATCTCATTGATAGCTGCTCACATGTTTTTGAATTGAACGAAGTTTGAATTTCGCTTATATCCCATCACCACCTCCCTCTCATATAATTGTTAGTCATTTCAAATTTTGCAGTTCCCAAAAGTGCAGTGTTCTTTTATATATCTGTGTCTTTGCGTATAATTTTCTACTTCACCTGGAAAACCCCTCCACAAACACCTATTGTCCCTTACGTATTCTCTGCCTTTGTCTACCCAATCTTCAAGATTCAGCTCAAGTTGAGCTAGGATATAAGTCCTCCCAGATCTTTACCTTCTCTCCCTTAAACCACTCAGAACATGTACCCAGAGCACGCAGTAGATACCCTTGTTATAGCACTGATAAGCTACTATAGTTGTTTGTGTATTTGTCCCTTTCTCCCATTAGACTGTGAGTTCCTTGAGAGCAGTACTGTGTTTTGTTCATTTCATGTTTCCAGTGTCCAGTATAGTAGTTGATACTTTTGCTGAATTAATGAATGGACAGATAATTTGAAGAAAACTATCAAATACTGTAGCATATATAGGGTGGGAGGCAAGAAAGCATTGAGTTATTACTAGTAGTACCTATACATACACACATGTTCTGTGTTCAGAATGAATGATAATTAACCATTCCAAAGACCACACATTTACACATGAAAAATATGCAGAGTCTGATTTGTGAGCAGTCCTCAAATTTCATACATTTGGCTTTTATTCAATTCAAACTATGATGGTCCCCCTGGAAGTAGATCCTGTATGCAGAGTTTGGACTCTTGTTGAACAAATGTACATTTCAAGCTATTATATAGTGGCACTGCCAGCCAGTTAACAGTTCAGTTTCAATGATATCAACATCTTTATCTTCACAGCAGCATATATTTGTGCAATTATTTGACTATTTTATTGCATTTTATCCTTATTCTATAACATAATAGACACTGGGAAAATTAAAATGCTGGTAGTGATAAGCAGCAATCTAGAGAAAAGATGGAAATCATTAGGCACACTGAAATGACCCTTTCTCTGTCTCTCTTTATTTTTTATTTTTTATTTTTTTGAGATAGAGTCTCTCTCTGTTGCCCAGGCTGGAGTGCAGTGGCATGATCTCAGGTCACTGCAACCTCTGTCTCCTGAATTCAAGCAATTCTCCCTGCCTCAGCCTCCTGAGTAGCTGGGATTACAGGCATGAGTCACCACACCCAGCTAATTTTGGCATTTTTAGCAGAGATGGGGTTTCACCGAATTGGCCAGGCTAGTCTCGAACTCCTGACCGCAGGTTATCCACCTGCCTCGTCCTCCCAAAGTGCTGGGATTGCAGGCGAAAGCCACCTTTGCCCGGCCGAAAGTGACCCTCTCTTAATTAAGCCTTGATTAAGCACCGAATTAAAAGTGCATGTGTTGCACAACCATGCGGCCCTCCCCAGCCAGCTAGGCGCCCTCCCCTACCTCTCCCGGCCTCCTGACTCTTAACTTGGAGACCCCCAGATGGTGCATTCCGCGGCTGGGGCTAGCAGGTGCCACAGCAACTGCCGCCTGCGAAATCAAGCGGGAGGAGATGGAGGATAATGAGAACACGTCGGCTGCCAACCACTCGGAGGAAAAGAAGAAGGAGCTGAAGGCCCCCCCAGGCCCGGACCAGTCCAGACCCAGACGAGGGGGCGACCTTATCCCCCTAGAGCAGAAGGCTGAAGGGGAGAAGGAGCGCCAGGTAGCCAATAAGGCCCGGGAGCGGTTGCAGGTCCTCGACATCAACAAGGCCTTTAAGGAGCTGGGGCGCATGTGCCAACTGCACCTCAACAGCAAGAAGCCTCAGACCAAACTGCTCATTCCGCACCAGGCAGTCTTGGTCATCCTGAACTTGAAGCAACAAGTGCGAGAGCGGAACCTGAACCCCAAAGGCTGCCTGTTTGAAAGCGAGAGAAGAGAAGGTGTCGGGCGTGGTCGGAGACCCCCAGATGGTGCATTTCATGGTCCACCCAGGCCTGAGTGAAGCCCACAACCCTGTAGGGCACGTGTGAAAGTAAACAAAACCTGAAAGCAAGCAACAAAACATACACTTTATCAGAAAAGAAAGAAAAAAAAATGCCTAAACTGTGAAATGTGGAGAAATCGAAACACACCACTTGAGGCAGATGCTGTGGAAACCTGGCTTATTCTTCAAAAGCCACCAGCAAATTGTGCCTATGTGTAATTTTTTTTAAAGGAAAATAAAGAACATTAGTTATAAGATTTTTTTTTTCTTAATGTAGGTGAAAATTAGCAGGGATGCTGCCTTTAGTCTCTAGGTTTTTTCGTGTTTTTTTTTTTTTTTTTTTTTTTTTAAGGTTTTTTTTGCATATGTTTTGTAAGCAGCAAGTTTTTTTGTATAAAAGTTCCGTGTCTCTCGCTACTTCTGCTGCTGTTTCTAGACTGAGCATTACATTTCCTGGTCAACCCGATGATTAAATGTTGTATTTTTAAAAAAAGTGCATGTGTAAAACGTTGGAAATATATTAAAGATTGTTTCTTTTAAAAAGAATGTAATTATGGATTTTAAAAATATTTTAGCCAATGTTGAAATCTGTTGATCATCTTCTGCCTTTACAACTTTTACATACATTCAGTAAGAAAAGTAGAGATGACCTGGCTGCGCGCGATGGCTCATACCTGTAATCTCAGCACTTTGGGAGATTGAGGCAGGCGGATCACGTCAGGACACGTCAGGAGAGCGGGACCATCCTGGCTAACAGAGTGAAACCCGTCTCCGCTAAAAATACAAAAAATTAGCCAGGCGGGGTGGCACGTACCTGTAGTCCCAGCTACTCAGGAGGCTGAGGTTGGAGAATCGCTTGAACCCAGGAGGCGGAGGTTGCAGTGAGCCAAGATTGCACCACTGCACTCCATCGTGGGTGACAGAGTAAGACTACGTCTCAAAAAAAAAAAAAGAGAAAAGTAGAGATGACCTGAATTTGCTACATTTTATCTTATTCTGGAAATAGTCTTATTTGGAAATAGTCTGCCTATAGAAGTGATATCTTAGGCTGATTTGTCTTTCCAGATGCCTGCTTGGTTACTTAAATAATTATTTCAAGTTTTGAAATAACAGACTCTTTTATTGCTGAGTATTTTGATTTGTCTGTGGTACAGCTAATACTCATTTACAGGTTAAAATGAGACATTATCTGATATTTTGAGTAAACCAAATTCTCTTATTATGAGACAGTCAGATTTCCTTAAATTTTTTCTTTTAATTTTTTATGATAGGTCCTAAAAATTAAACTCTTCATTCTAGATAAAGGGTTTATTGCTTTATTTTTTTGTTTTGTTTTGTTTTGAATAATGTTGGATTTTTCCTAATTGACCTAACTTCCACAGTACCTCTAATGGCAGAAGGGAGATACAAATAACTTTGGGGGCCTGATGTTGCCCCAGTTTAAGAAGCACAAACCAAAAGGTTGGAATTGATGAAAACCTTAAAGAGGTGATGGGAACTTCTGCGGATGACTGTCCTTATGAGACAAATTCTGGCTGTGGGAAGTTAAGACACACCTGTATTCTCTGGAGTCTGGAGAAATACTGTTACTTTCTTTATACTATGAGATTACCTTCTTGTTATTGCCATCTATCTTTGTGCCGAGTAGAGGCCATTGTACCACAGGAGTTCTTTTTGTGCTATTCAGGAATCATTATTGGACGTTTTGTGACTGCCACAACTATTTGTACCATCTTTCACTATTGTTCTGCTTTATAGGGTAGTGTTTTGTTGTTTGTAAACTTGGTATTTTATGTCTACTGCCAAGCTACAGAATCTTAGTAGATAGCATTCAGAGAACTCTTTCCCTTGTCATTTTTCATGAAGAGAGAAGCCCAGGTTATTTACAGATGACTCATTGAGGGAAAACAACAACAACAACAATCTCTTGACCGTGTGGCTGTTTAGGTATATAAAAACTGCAGTACTTTACCATTGGGAGCTGATACTCATGAGTTTGTTCTTCCTGGGAGTGATGTTGAGTAGTTGTGAGCTTTTCTAAGCTTATTCTCAGTCCTCTGAAGAACAAGGCTATTATATTGAAATAGTTATTTGGGCTTTGGGATGCAGTACATCACAATGAAACAGGATTTTGGAGTGCGCTTTCTCCTGCTGGGTTATCTGTCATCTGCCTTTTAAAGTTCTCAGGTGCACCGTTCTAATCCTCCAGACCTTTGTTGCAAACCTATTATCTGTGGCTTGGTATGAATTAAATTGGAATTCTGTGTCCCGTAAAATTGACATGAAGAAAAAGAGTATTCATTTTCATACTTGATTCTTTAACAAAAAATTCAAGTTTTAGCCTGATTGGGTCTAACTTTCTACGTGTGTTGGATTAGATGGTCTTAAACAGAAGAGAAAGAATAACAGTCAAAGTAATCTCATTTTATGTTTTTATGTTTCACACATACACATACATATATACTACATTATGTCAAATTAGTAAATACAAAGCTTTTGTATATGAACGTAACTTTTATATTTAAAAGAAAGTACATGATTAGTTTTACCAGAATATACTTGCTATTGTTCGTTGTAGCTTCTACCCTTTATATGAGCCATTGTTCGGGGGAGTACCTCTGTTGTTACTGGTAATAAACTATAAGGGAAATTTTAATATAAGAGCATATTTCCCCTAGATTTTAAAAAAGCAGGTCATTATTTATATCAGCTGCAGCACAGTGCAATCTTTTTGGGGAGAATTGGTAAAATGAGGATAAAATGAATATAGGATTCCAGCAGCTTGAAAATAACATAGTATTTGACCAAAATCTCTTTTGTATTTCCTACTCTGGTTCAATTCCAGTAGTCCTGGAAATGTGCCTATGGACTATTTACAGTGAGATTATAAAACTGAATCATGATTTTGGTGACTAGAAGCCAGAGCATGTGGCTATAGCACCCCAGCTGGCAGTAAGCTCTCCCTAGGTTTATGAATGTAGTTAGATGGTCCCCAACTGTTTACAAGACAGCAGAGGTGAGATTTTTGATTGACAAGTCAGAAATGCATTAGATCATTCTCTCTGCCAGTCTCTGGTTCATGCTGTTAAAAATGTCAGCCTCCAAGTTTGAATGGCAGCCTGAGGGGCCTTAGAAGCTTTTTGTTTTCTGAGATGGAAACACAAATTGGATGTGTGCCTGAGCGCTTCATCCTGGGCTGTAATTTCATCTTTTAGCTAAGAACCACAAGGTACACGAGCAAAGCACCCTGTAAACAATAATACTGTGGAAAAAAAATAAACAAGGTCGTGTTTCTGGTACGTTGATCCGATGGTGTCCTGACCTCTATCACGTTGAACATCTCCAGTCTGATTGCTGTTCCCTTTGGCATTACAATGAGAGAAAGAGAGACTGACATAGGAAGAAAAGATTTAAAGTTGCAGTATCGTTGCACATTCCTTGTATTGGCTATGAAATATTGAACTGTCAGAATGTGACACTTGGTTTTTTAAGCAACCTTTCTTGTTTGAGGTGTTTGCAGTTCATTCCTTTTTCCCCCATTTGTCTGCTTTCATTGATAGTGTTGGAAGTAGTTGCCTTAAATGCATGAAAAGGGACAGTGTTAAAGAGAAGTGATGCTGATGGAGCCAAACAAACTTAACCCTGGAAAATAAATGTAGGCTGTGGGCAAAGGAGATAAATTTGGGTTAGTTAGTGTATTATTAATAGTGGGATTTATGGAACACCCTATAATAAGGAAGAATCAGGTTAGGTCCCAGTTCTGTTTTTGTGGAGGCAGGAAGTTGGGAAGGTGGTATTGGGTAAAGAGATCCATTGAGATAGTTTATTAAACTGATAGTCTACTATATGGCAGTATTGCCAGGCCAATCGAAATTCACCCAGCTATTTTATTTATTGCTCTGATTATCCAATGTCTTCAACAAGTGGTGAAATTATAGAAGACTTTAAAATTTTGGAAAGAAAATTTGATGTGGAAAGTTTGTGTTTATAGTAAGAAAGTTCATTAATAGGTAATATGGAAGAAACATTGTGCTTATATTAGTCCAACTTATGGCACATGAATAGAAAATCTTCCTTGAAAAAGCCACCATATATTTTTGGAAAATATTTTGTAATAATAGAATGAGTTTTCTATTATGTTTTAAATTACATCTTTTTTTTTCAAGCTATGAGTAGGAATTTGTAAATTACAGTACATCTTAAAACAGCATATCTATTTGAAAAAACTTTTTTCTTCTAAGGAAGCACTGTTGATGTATGCCCTCATTTTCATCCATTTTTGGGCATAGAATTTGTTAGTAAAGTTTTAACTGAGAATGACCTTTATGCAGTTCTTCTGGAGTATTGAAAGGAGTTTGTATTGAAAAGTACTTCAGTGGCTGTGCACTGTGGCTCAAACCTGTAATCCCAACACTTTGGGAGACTGAAGTCGGTGGATCACTTGATTGAGCTCAGGAGTTCCAGACCAGCCTGGGCAACATGGTGAAACCTCGTCTTTACCAAAAATACAAAAAATTAGCCAGGCATGGTGGCACTGGTCTGTGGTCCCAGCTACTTGGGAGGCTGAGGTGGGAGGATTACTTGAGCCTTGAAGGTTGAGGTTGCAGTGAGCTGAGATCATAAGACTGCTCTCCAGCCTGGGTTGACAGAGTGAGACTCTATCTTTAAAAAAAAAAAAAAAGCAACTATTTAGCTTAGCCCTCTCCTCTGCAGATATGAAAGGCAAGAGCTGTTTTGCATCAGTCCAGTGAACTGCACTGGAAAAATGGTGTTGGTAATTCCTGCTTTGAGGTCATGCTAGAAAGAGAGGAGATAATACTTGTAAAATCTAAGTCCTGCTCCTTTGTATCCAGATTTTTGTCCTTAAAAATACTGTGCTCAGAAAGTAATACCAAAGGGAGGGATATTAAGAACTAGTTATTGTTGTTTTTAAGTATTGCTCTGAATTTTTAAAGCATAAACATTGATGTAGATTTGCATTTAAGCTATGAGAACCCACTGTCTTGACTCAGTGGGGGAGTTTTCAAAAATCATTCTTGTAGAAATTGATTTCTCATTGGCTGATTTCTACAGGATGAATGAAAACAAACCATTTTTTGCAATCTTAGAAGAATAAGAGGAATGCAAGTATTTAACAAATGAGACTGAAATGTGCTTTTATGGAGTTTTCTAAATCTAGTACAAAGAAACTATACAAAATTTCTTCTTCTTTCGTGTATTATGCATCAATACAGTGAAAATGCCTCACAGTTTATGG